AGGTCGTATTCTTTCCACCGCTTCTTGTATTTCAATGTCGAAGATACTTAGCAGCGATCAGTAGTCTTTCTCTGCTTTCCTTTACGTAGCTCTGTAGCCCCAAGAGCTGTTGTGTGAACCGTCTCTTTTTGATACTGAGGAACCCCTCTTTCGCCTTCCCTACGTGAGGACAACCGGTCTACATTACTCGTTGGAGGTAGACCCTAGTGCACTGTCTATCAACCTCCTAGTGCGTCTGTCTCGTTCAAAGTTCACTAAACCTTTTAGCCCCCCCCCCCCTCAGGCATATACAGAAGATGAATATGAATAGTAATAAAGTTGATGTGCATTTCCATATAGTGAGGGGAACTGCATATCAGACCCTGCTCTCCATACCCATCAGTGAGGGAAACCGCACACCAAGTCCTGTGAAACTATTGTTCTGTATCTCCACCCCTTATGAATATCTCTCATGAATTAAAGAAACAAACAGAAAGGAAAAACTGTTTGCTGTTATCGTGGAAATCCTAAGCAATGTAGAAAATATTGGAATTGAACATAAAGGTGTTCAGACTTATTGAAATGCGTAGAAACACATCGTGATCAATGAATATGTTGCATGAAATACTGAGAAATTAAAAATAGGGGAAACTCTGTTGATTGTCTTTTGATGTATATGTCATAACTATGTCACCCAACTCCCTTTTGATTAATATAAATAGATGATAAAAAAGACGAATTATATATAGATTAGAAACGTATCATCAGTTTATAGTTTACTTATTTTTTTAATCATCATAATCACACCATCATCACATCATCATCACCTCCATCATCACCACCACCATCATCATCATCATCACCATCACCACCACCATCATCATCATCATCATCATCATCATCATCATCATCACCATCACCATCACCACCACCACCATCATCATCATCATCACCATCACCACCACCATCATCATCATCATCATCATCATCATCATCATCATCACCATCACCATCACCACCACCACCATCATCATCATCATCACCATCACCACCATCATCCCTATCATCATCACCATTTTTTTATCATTGTCATCATCACTATCATTACCATAATATTAATGGTATTCATGTTACTAGTAATGCGTATCGTAATCGTCAATATCCAGATTAACAGCATCTTTATCTCTATCACTATTATCATTGTTATCATCATTGTTTTATTATCTTAAGAAAGAGAATAAGTGACTTTTTAATTTTTTATTGTTTTATTTATTTTTCTCTATTTAAGTTATTCCTTAATTTATCTCTTTAATTTCTTCATTTATTATTATCAATTATCTATTTATCGACTTATTTATCGGTTAATATACTAACTTATATGTTAGTTGTTTCCTTGTTTATTTTTTATTTATTTCCTTGTTTATTTATTTATTTCCCAGTTTATTTGTTCATCTCTTTGTTTACTTGCTTACTTATCTCTTTGTTCATTTATCTATTTCATTGTTTATTTGTTGATTTACCTCCTTGTTTATTTATCTCCTTATTTATTTGTTTATATTTCCCCTTGTTTATTTTTTAAATTTATCTCCTTGTTTATTTTTTAAATTTATCTCCTTGTTTATTTTTTATTCATCTCCCTATTCATTTGTTTATTTACTAACTTTGTTTTTCTGTATTTTTATTGCTAATATTCTTCTCACCAGATTTTTTTCTCATTAAGTCATTTACTTATTCACTGAGTTATCAGTTTACATACTTATGTTATTTAAATTTGAATTACTTATCTGCTTGTTTGTTTGGTTACTCAACTAATTGTTTATTTACTTGTTTCTTTGTTTATTTATTTTTATTTATATATTTTTTTCTCCCACAGGTCATTGTATCTATTTAACGATCTATTTATCTATCTGATTATCTAGTTAGTTATCTATTCATTATCTGTTTAATTATTAATTTAATTATCTATTTAATCATCTGTTCAGTTATTTAATGACCTATTTACTTATCACTTTAATGATCTGTTTCTCCACTTATAACGCTTTCTTCCCTCCAGTCATTGGCGCAACTGCACAGAGGCCGAGTTCGAAACTTCTTGTTCATTTAAACATCTATTCAATTAACTATTTAATAACTTATTTAATGACCTATTTACTTATGAATTTAATGATCTGTTTCTCCACTTATAACGCTTTCTCTCCCCCCCCCCCCCAGGTCATTGGCGCAACTGCACATTTAATTCTCTATTCGGTTCCCTATTTAATGACCTATTTACTTATTAATTTAATGACCAGTTTCTCCATTTATAACGCTCCCCCCCCCCCCAGGTCATTGGCGCAACTGCACAGAGGCCGAGTTCGCATCTTCTTGTTCATTTAAATATCTATTCAATTAACTACTTAATAACCTATTTAATGACCCATTTACTTATCAATTTAATGATCAGTTTCTCCATTTATAACGCTTTCTCCCCCCCCCCCCCCCGGTATGATCAGTTTCTCCATTTATAGCGCTTTCTTCCCCC